TAATGACCAGTGATTCCCAGTCGTTCTGCTGTTAGGGTCAATTTGCATATTACCCTTTTATTATATAGGAGTGCCTGGCTAGCCTGAGTGAGGGGCTGATGGCTATTTGCAGGCTGACCACACCCCCTTCAGGGTGGGGGGTCCTGTATTAAAGGATCGCGGCATTAGGAAGGTTGAGAACCACTGCGAGAGGGTGGGGGTCCCCACTGGGATGCCTGGCCAGCCTGGGTGAGGGGTTGATGGCTGTTTTCAGACCGGCCAAGCCCTCCAGCAGGGATCCTCACCCCAGAGAGTGTGGCCAGCCTGGGTGAGGGGTAGAGGGCCGTTTTCAGGCTGGCCACGCCCCCTTCAGGGTGGGCGCCCCCACTGGGGTGCCTGGCCAGCCTGGGTGAGGGGCTGATGGCTGTTTTCAGGCTGGCCATGGCTCCCGGCAACCCAAGCTCCCAGCTCTTTTTTATTTTCAGTGCCTCCTTGAGCGGAGGGAAGCAGGTAACTGGGATTTATTTATCTTCTATAATTAAAACTTTGTAGCCTTGAGTGGAGGCCAGGGCGGGCCATGGCAGGCGGGAAGCTTGGCTTCCTCAATCACCAGGGCAACCCAAACCTCCTGTTTGCTCCAGCTCCGTGGCCACCACCATCTTGGCTGGGTTAATTTGCATACTTGCTCCTGACTGGCTTGTGGGCATGGCTTGTGGGTGTAGCGGAGGTATGGTCAATTTGCATGTTTCTCTTTTATTAGATAGGATTGTACTCATGGCTTTTCTTAAAAGAGTATGGTACTCAGCTCTTGAACATACGTAGTATACCTTTTGACTTTCTAATCCCCTTCTGGGAAAATAATCTGGTATACATACATTGTCTGAATTTGTCACACTGGTTTGTCCCACTAGGACACGTTAATTAGAAAAGTCAGTGAAATTATTTAACTAATGTTAAGAAAACCTTATACATGGAAGCAGATATTTCTATAAATCTTCAGTTTTATAAAAAGAGCCTCTAAGTTCTTAAAATTTACTAGATAGGGAAAAGGGGGCATGGCATAATTTTCCCATAGCTTTAGCATTCAGTTAGCCTATTTGTGTAATTGTCAATGAATGTCTAATATTACACATAGGTGATGTTTTCTATGGTAACTTTATAAATAAAATCATCCATAATAGAAATGGATAGAGAATTTTTGCTAGGAATTCTATTCTGATACAAATTTGAATAGATGAGAGCCATGTTGTCTTTCCCCTTTGAGCTGAAAGACTGTTATTAATCACTCTGAAAGTAACAACTAAAAATATACTGGAGATGCCATCAGAAATCATATAGTTCTATTCTGATTTACTCACAAAAGAAACTAGAATACAAAATATATAAGTGACTCTTCCAAGCTTCACACATACTTCATGGTAGAGCTGAAATTACGAATATTTGATTCTCTTTCCATATGCCACCATATAATTGCCAAGAGAAAATGACATTTCTAGATGCCGAATTTATCCATATAAATTTAGATTATACATGCAAAGAGAAATAGACTAGAAAAAAAAAAGAATCTTTCAGTTACCAACAACTGAGGTTCCCGGTGTTCATCCACAGCTGGAAGTCCAGTTATTATTTCTAGTAAAACCTATGAAGATAAAAAACAACAAATCCATTAATGTCACACTCCAGGCAACATATAGAAACTAGAATGAATTATGAATCTTGATTATGAAATCTGGTTAATCATTTTCACACACTGCATTATGTCTTTTAGGCATCAAGGCAGAAAGAACATGAGCTGTGGTCATTTCCCACCATCCTTTGAAGCTTCACTGACACCATGGATCCCACCCATCCCCACAAGCATTTCTTGCTATTGGCAACTTACTAAACAATCAGCTCCACTCAACGTGTTCTGGACACACCTCTCCCTGGTTTGCAGGGAATTCTTCATAAGAATAAATTTCTTTGGTTCTTAGGAGAATATTATTTTCTAAACTTTAGGCATATCCCAAACCCTATACCAGTGATGGCGAACCTATGACACGCATGTCAGAGGTGACACGCGGACTCATTTTTTTGGTTGATTTTTCTTTGTTAAATGGCATTTAAATATATAAAATAAGTATCAAAAATATAAGTCTTTGTTTTACTATGGTTGCAAATATCAAAAAATTTCTATATGTGACATCGCAATAGAGTTAAGTTAGGGTTTTTTAAAATGCTGACCCGCCGAGCTCAAAAGGTTCACCATCACTGCCCTATACCTTAAGTTCACAGTGTTATGATGTTAAATTTCCATATATAAAACACATATGAAAAATACGGACCTGGAGAGTATTAGGCTAAGTGAAATAAACCAGTCAGAGAAAGACAAATACCATATGATCTCACTAATATGTGGAATCTAATGGTGAATTACCCAATTTCTCCAACCGCCCCCACTCACTCCTCATTCCATCTTAAGTTATCAGGAACAGACTGGCAAATCAAAGAATGCCAAAGCATATTTCTTTTAAAAAAATACTTCATTTTAAAATATGACACCAAATTACATACTGTATGACATTTATTTTCTGCATTAATTTAAGTTTCATACTAATTCATGAGGATAGTGTAGTCAAAAATAATTTCATAAATCAATATAAAGGCTTTACAAAGTTGGAGAAGTTTTTATAACTTTCTCATTTAACTAGAGGTTAAAGTGAACAGTTTACAGAGAGCTAAGCAAGGCAGGTGTATTCAAAATATTCTACTTAAATTTCATAATTATTACCAGAATGATTGATTATTGTTATTGATTATATATATACTAGAGGTCCGGTGCACGAAATTCGTGCATGGGAGGGGGTATCCCTCAGCCTGGCCTACACCCTCTCCAATCTGGGACCCCTTGGGCCTAAACCAGGAGTCAAACATCCCTCTCACAATCTGGGACTGCTGGCTCCTAACTGCTCACCTGCCTGCCTGCCTGACTGCCCCTAACCGTTTCTGCCTTCCAGACTGATCGCCCCCTAACTGGCTCCCCTGCCGGCCTGATTGATGCCTAACTGCTTCCGTGCCAGCCTGATCACCCCCAACTGCCCCCCCTGCAGGCCTGGTTGCCCCCAAATGCCTCCTTCCCACCCCCGCTGGCCTGGTTGTCCCCAACTGTCCCCCCGCTGGCCTTGTCGCCCCAAGCATCCTGCTGTTTGATCATTACTGTTACTGTGATGGTGTCCCAGACAATTTGCGTATTCCTCTATTATTAGTATAGATATGAAACTTACCACACCAAAGCTGTAAATGTCAGATTTGGGTGTTATTTCTCCTCGCAAAGCCTCAGGTGCCATGTAAGCTGTTGTTCCCACAATTCTGCTAGTCATGACTGTCTGGGAAAACTTCTCAGAAGCCCGTGCAAGCCCAAAGTCAGATATTTTGGCTGTAAAGTCTCCATCCAGTAAAATATTTGCACTGAAAAAGATGTAAAATTTGCAGAGAAAAAAATTTATTAAAAATATTTAATGTTGACTATTGCAGATATCCTCCCTTCGCTCACCTCCAGTCACCTCCACATCCACCTCCCTTGGCCATTACCACACTATTGTCCGTGACCATGGGGTATGCATATATGTTTTTTAGCTAATCCATTCACCTTCTTTATCCAGTCACCCCCCACCCCTTCCTCCCCCTCTGGCACTCGCCAGTCTGTCCCATGTATCCCTGCTTCTGGTTTCATTTTGTTCCTCAGTTTATTTTGTCCATTAGATTCCACATATTAGTGAGATCATATGATATTTGACTTTCTCTGACTGGTTTACTTCACTTAGCATAATACTCTCCAGGTCCTTTTCAGGCAAGTTAAATGGTTTCTTAAATAGCTGTATGAATATATGTATGTATGTATGTATTTACAGAGTATACCATGTTATAATATACATCATAAAAGCCTGAAGTTTGTGTAAATAAACCTAGATTTCAGATTAAAGCTAAAAAGAAATGACTTATATTCCCTTCTGTTTCTTAAGAAAATAAAATTGAAATAATGCTGTTCACATTATTGAGAGATATTTTCATTATTTTACAAATAATTTATCACAGGGTCACTTCCCTTAAGGTCTGCCAAAGCACTATTCTTAACTCGTTTTGTAACATTTCTAAATTCATTTAAAAACAAATTTCCAACCCAAGTATCTCAATTTTTCATTTCTTTTTTCTTTTTTGTACTATCTGAAATCTTTCGAAGAAGAAAGAATACAGTTAAAAGATCTTCCTTCACTCATTATATGCATTCACTCATACACTCATACTTTCATTCCACAAAACTTACTGAGGACTCCCTATATATTATAGTATTTAAGTTAAGTGCTGGACATGGAGGAAATCTTCAAATCTTGTCTGTGACAAAGGTATATGCATAAATATTTTTTTTAATCCTCACCTGTTGATATATTTTTATTTATTTTTAGAGAGAGCGGAAGGGAGAGAAACATCAATGTGAGAGAGAAACATTGATTGGTTGCCTCCCTGACATGACCCAACTGGGGATCGAACCCACAACCGAGGTATGTGCTCTGACGGGGAATCAAACCCACATTTTGATGTATGGGAGAGCGCTCCAACCAAGTGAGTCACCTGGCTATGGCCATGCATAATTTTTAAAAATCCAATAAATACACTATAATGGTGATATTAGATATAAAATGCAGATAGAACAACTATATGAATAAAAGAACTGGAGAAAATTCCAAGGAAAAATGTGCTTAGTCTTGAATAATTATTAGAAGTTGATGGTTAAATGAGAGAAAGAAAGGCATTTCAGGCAAATGGAGCACCATGTAATAGTGATTAAAAACATATGACCAATTTCAATAAACTGGTATGCAGGCTTGATCTTTCGGGCCATGTACCTGGCAATGCAGTAGTGAATAGGTAAGTACTAGTACAGACAGGTTAAAGGCTGATTAGGAGTGTTTGTAATAAAGTCAATGATAGATAGCCAGGGTCTAAATAAAGGCAGAACACTGGGGAGAAAAAGGACATCTATAATCTGGGAGTGCTCTAGATTAAGACGTGCATGTGCATAGCGAACAGAAAGAGGGAGGGCAAATTATTCTTTAAAGATGGTTTTTCCAAAAGTAGCATTTACCTTTTAATATCTCGATGAATTTGATGGTTTTCATGTAAAAAACTGATGCCATTAGCTGCACCCTGAGAAATCCTGCATCTCATGTGCCAAGAAAGTGGTGGAGTATCATCCTTGTGAAGAAACAAACCAATTCAAAAATTAGGAGGATAAAAATACCTACAGTAAATACATAACAGAAAATGTTCCTAAGCAACTTTTAAACAGGGGTTAGCATTTCTCATTTGACAATAAAAATATGTAAGGGCATCTTCAAAGTCCAGTCTTGACTAATATTTTAATTTTAGATGATCACCTAATAGAATGACAACCCCAGTTTTTTGCATATCAAATGTATAATTTTCATAGAGTGGGAAAAATATTAAGGTTGATGCAGTTTAAATGATCCTGTCACAAGATGAATATTAATATCCAACAAAGAAACAGAAAGCCAAAAATCTGATGAACAAATATCTTACCAAGCAAGACAGTCTGTCTAGCAATGAACCGTTAGGCATGTAAACATATACTAAGCAGAGGTCATCTCCATCACTTGAGAAACCAAGTAGTTCTACTAAATTTTCATGTTGGCACCTGTGACAAATAATTTTTCACTCAAAATTATTATGATACACACATATATTCAGCTGTAGGTTGGAAGTTATTTAGTTTAGAGCTTTAATAGGAAAAAGATCAAGAAAATAATATGTTTAATATCATAATATGATATATGCTTATATATGTTTCTTATAACTTGATAATCTTCTGTAAACACTTCCCCTTTTAGTCAATATTGATCAACTTAGAAGCAAAACCTCTTTCTATTTTATAGTAAAAGCTCAATAATTCAGACCATTGGAACTTGTGATAGTTTGGTTAAGGACTAAACTAATGTTTACTTTTGTTTAGCACAATTTCAATTATAGCACCAATAAGATTTCAAGAAGTCTGTTGAAACCTGTATAAAACCCTTTCAAGAATGCTCTAACACATCCAAAGCACTGATTTATAGACATCTGATCTATAATCACATCTAATCTACACATTTGTGTATTTCATCATATCTGATTATTTAGAAACTAACTTGAGTTTCTTTATATATGTGAGAATAAAAAAAACGAAGAGAGCTAAGTATAACAAAACTGCAGACATATGTGATACAGCAGAAAGAAAACTGGGCTGTGTTCAGTGCTAAGTTTGAAGTCCAGCTCTGCCACCTCCTGGATATGTGAACTATAGCAAATTAACAACTCACCAAGCCTCAGCAAATTTGCCTGCTAAAAGTGGATAATAATACCTATGTAACATGGATGCTGTGAGAATTAAATGAGCAAATATATGAGAGCCTTGACAGGTACCTAGAGCATGATAAATATTCCATCCTTTGCTTACTCATTTGCTCATTCAAAATGATCTATAATTCTAGCATTTCACTATTTCAAATCAGAGTTTTATTTGAAATCAGTCTATCCTCAAAAATATTTTGTAAAGTGCAAATTAAAATGACAAATTTTCCATGTTCCAGCAAATTAGCACATTTTAGAAATGAGTAGATAACTTTTGCTGAGTTTATACTGTATATAAGGCACTATAGTAAATAATTTCCCTCTTTATTTATTCTTCACAATAAAATAATGAAGAAACTATTATTATTCCATGTTATAGATAAGAAAACTAATGGATACAGTGTTAAGAAATGTGGCTAAGGTTATTCTGCTAGTAAGGTCCAGAGATTGGTACTTATTAAAAAATAGTAATAATATTCAATGGTGGTGATGTAGCAGTGACGTTTGAAATTGCAATACATTGCTGATAAGAGAATTAATTATCGTAACTAATATATAAGGCCATTTGGACATATACTTGGAAAGTCTTTAAAAAGTTCATGCATTCTGAACTATAATTCTTCTAAAACTTTATCCTGATGAAATAAGCAGAGTTGCATGTAAAGATTTATGTACGAAGAGATTTAAAGGAGCTTTAATTCATAACACTGAAAATCAGAAACAAACCTACTAGGGCAAAGATTAAACAAAACATAATCCTCATATATGACAGAATTTTATCAATAATTTAAAATGTTTTAAAATTATTTTTAATGACTTGGGGAAATGCTATGCAGGTATCATGAAGAAAGTACATCAAATATTAGCAGTGGTTATCTCTGAGTGATATAATTAAGAGGTGATTTTTATTATTTTAAAAATAATTTCCTATATTTCTCAGATTACCTACTTTGAACAACTTACTTTAGGATTGGAGAGTGGAGTAGAAATGAGAACAAATTGTAGAAGTGTTTTAATTTTTATTATCACTATGCATTATTTTTACTGTAAATAAATTAATTCCAGTCTAGTATTTCTTTCTTGAGGTTAAGCAACTAGAATTGGTGATTTATAGCAATGGGTCTAATACAATTCATATCAAAAGCTCAAGCTCTGGAATCAGACAGATCTGTATTTGAAACCCAGCTCTAATATTTATTGGCTATGTGACCTTTCTAAATCTCAGGGGGGAAAAAAATGTTGGGAGGGAGGTTATAACAATTATTGTTAGGATTAAATGAGACAATGCACATAAAATATACTGTACAGTGTCTTGTACACTATGTAAACTCAAGTATCCATTATTACAATTATTAGAGTAAATTTCCTAATTTGTTTCTGTTACTTTTCCTGATGATGCCCAACAATGTTCAAGCATACTGGGTCAAGGCCTTCAAAGCACTCTGGTGTATAACACTTCCCTGGCTTATGGGTGTTAACTTATATCTAAGAGCCCATTATACTATACTTTCTTTTCATATCTACAATTTATCTCTCATAAATCCTGGGAGCAGAAAACATGATAATGGAAGGAAGTTGAAAGTCTATGTAATTTTGCTATGATTTAAAATAATGACTGCTGTTTAATCTACAGGCATATGGGTATGTGTAGTTATGGAATTGTAGTCAAAAATTTTTAAGTTGCTCTAATCTAAATCCTTTATTTCATTTGTATATATGTGAAAATGTCACTTGTTCATAGTACCCTTGGGGTAAGAAACCAGATCCCTCATTCCTTGCCATGCTCTTTTCCATTACACCACACCACCAAATAAACTTACTTTGCCATTACTTTTATTTCTTGATCAAACTGTTGTTTCAGTTCTTCAGTACTAATGTCAACCACCTGAAAAAATAGTATACAATATAACACAATACAATAACCCTAAGGCTCCTAATGCTAGAGCATGGCTAAAGAGATCAATTGGCTGATACTGCTTTCCTTAAAATAGCAAGGCATTATTCTCCCCATTTTATAGAACATCCGAGAACTAGAAATATTAGTGATTTGCTCAAGGTTCCATGGCTGGTTAGGGGAAGGAAAAGAATCTTATAAAACATGTAAACATATAAACCTCACTGAGTTACTGTGGGAGTGAAAAAAAATTATATGAGACTTTACTGCATAAACATTTTGAAAAAAGTTCTGTAGAGCAGAAAACACGTGAATTTAGAGGCAAAAAGAAAAAATAAAACCTGCAAAAGTTTTTTTTTTTTTTAGCATATATAACAGGGTGACTCTCTTTGTCATATAAATATGTATTATATTGATATTTTAAAAAATATAACAACAAATCTAGAAAATAACAAATCAATAAGTAAAAGATGAATACCCTAACAGAAATGGGAACAAAGGATATAGAAAAGAAATTTTGCATTTTTTAATGTACATTTTACAAACTTTATTTTTAAATGAGAAAGTACAAGAAAGTTATTTTTATAAAATATTCTTAGTATCTTATTTTAATCTTCATTATGCATGAAGCACTGTGTGAAACAGGGGTTCTCAACTTTATTTTGTGACTCTCCCATAATTGTATGAATAATGCGGTGTATGTGTGCATAACTACATTTTGGGTAGAGATAGGACCCAGAGCTTTCAACAGATTTTTAAATGTTAAGGACTACCAGCTTAGAATGATGTTTATTTAAAGAAAATATGCACTCAAATAATATTATTTCCTAAAGATTAATTTAAAACTTATTCTATAGCACACTAGGAAGTAACTCTTCCTTTAAATCTTTTATCCCTGGAAACAAAACTTACTGCTGCAAGCCTCTTCACAGCCACAGTCCTGTTGTTCACGTAGCCTTTATAAACAACTCCAAATCCGCCCTCTCCCATTTTGTTGCCACCGACAGAAATGGGGCGTTCATCAAAGTTATTTGTGACATCCTTCAACTCATAAAATGAAAAACTGTGAAAACCTATAATGTCAATAAAGGGGAAAAGTGCTTCAGTAAAAAAGTGGTTTTAGTAATTCCAGTATTTTATCAATTTAAGTATTTTATATTTTAATATCTATTACTCTGGATTAGGCACAACGAGGAGAGCAAAACAATGTATATTTTTATTTTTTTAAATATGTTTTATTGATTTTTTTACAGAGAGGAAGGGACAGGGATAGAGAGTTGGAAAAATCGATGAGAGAGAAACATCGATCAGCTGCCTCCTGCACATCTCCCACTGGGGTTGTGCCCAAAACCAAGGTACATGCCCTTGACCGGAATCGAACCTGGGACCTTTCTGTCCGCAGGCTGACGCTCTATCCACTGAGCCAAACCAGTTAGGGAGCAAAACAATTTTTAAATAAAAGTTTTAGTCACTTGTTTTCTTCATAAAATAAACCTTTCAAGTTAAGTAAATATTTACTTATGGCCTCTACTCACTGATAACATGGTGACTTATACAATGAAGATGGTGCTTAGTAAGTCAGGAGGGGGAACTACACAAGAGCTTTCGCCAGTGTGCACAAATAAAAGGAGGAATTTGTTTTTAGTAGTAACGGTCTTTAAAAAATATATTTTATTGGTTTTTTTTTACAGAGAGGAAGGGAGAGGGATAGAGAGTCAGAAGCATCCATGAGCAAGAAACATCGATCAGCTGCCTCCTGCACACCCGCTACTGGGGATGTTGCCTGCAACCAAGGTACATGCCCTTGACCAGAATCGAACCCGGGACCCTTCAGTCGGCAGGCTGACGCTCTATCCACAGAGCCAAACCGGTTAGGGCAGTGGTAATGGTCTTAATGACAAGCCACCAGTATAGCAATTTTCAACCTTGTTCACCTCACGGCACACATAAGCTAATTAATAAAATTCTGCAAAATACAAAAAAAGTTTGCCATTCTGACAAAAAAAAATAGGTATAATTTTTTTATGTTTTATATTTATTTTTTTAGAGAGAGACAGAGAGGGATGGAGATAGAAACACTGATGAGAGAGGAACATCAATCAATTGCCTCCTGCACGCCCCCTACTGGGGATTGAGCCCACAACCCCGGGCATGTGCCCTGACCAGCAATAGAACTGGTGACCTTGTGTTTCATGGTTCGACACCCAACCCCTGAGCGAGCAGCACTGGCCAGGCAAAACAGGTATACTTTTTGATATATTCACACCATATGGCTATTGTTGTATTGGCTGTTGTCATTTTTTAAATTTGACAATGAAAGAGAAAAGAGGTTAATGCCTCTGACTAAATAGTCAAGTATTCCATGTTTTAAAAATTCTTTCGGCACATTGGTTAAAGATCGTTGCCCTAGTGGAATGCACTGCAAATGTTACTTACGCGTATCACTAACTTCTAAACTTTCTGCACTTGAGGAGTCAGGTGGCATATGGTTTTGTTCAGGATTCCGCACAGGTATCACAAATGACCTGTCTTTATCATAGCGAGGCATCTGGTTCTGCTCGACTGTTACAGCTTCTTTACAAGGCAGTGTTCTAACAGCTTTGGGAACAGCATCTGCCGAATGAAGTAAGATACAAGTTGTCCTTCCGTAGAAACAGTGGAAAAGTTAATCTAGGACTTGGTTCACTTAACATCATTCCAGTTTCAACATGAGCCCCATATTCTCACAGCACACACAAGAAGCTACCTAGTAAGAATTTTGTTTTGGTAAAGATAGGTAAGGCAGTGTTTTAAAAAATGGCCTATGAGCCACCTGCATCAGAAGCTCTGAAGTACTTGAACCCAATTCCAGAATTCCAATAACGTTGTCTATAATAGAACCCAGAAAGCTACCCATTGACAGAAACCCCAGATGATTCTTATGTACACTGAGAACCACTGGTGTAAATGACATCAAAGGGAAAAGGTAAAGTTATGAGGAAGGCAACAAGACACGAACCCACCAGAATACAGTGTAAAGAAATCATGACCACAGAGTCCTATTGGCGTGGAAGTAGAGGGTGAAAAAAAATAAGAGCTAAAAAAAAAAAATCCCCCAAATAATATCTGATTCCCATCCTTTTAAACTTCCTACTGGCACCAAACTACCTTACTTTAATGGCGGGATCAGACTCAATCATGAAGCCTCCATCTCTTTAACAGCAAGCAAGTCTGCAGTGCCCTATGTCTGGGGTGCTTGTTAAGAGTTGGGGACAGTTGAAAGAATGAAAAGGAGCCTCAAATGTCAGGTTCATCTGCTATGAGAAAAAAGTCAGAGTAAGAAGAAATGGTCCTATTTCTGCCACTTGTCTTTCCACCCTCATTGCTGATGCCCGAGCCACACTCAGTTTACCTGGTAGCAAAAGACTCGCAGGGGCAAAAAACTCATTTTGGATCAAAAGATCCACAAGATCACCAACTGTGCAATTTGTAGTGCCCCAGTCAAACAGTAATTCACTGGTGGGACTTTTTCCAGTTTGAAGTAATGCTTCAAATCTCCTTAAAAGCAACAAAGAAACAAAATTAGTATGTAAAGGGAGTTAAGATGAAAATAGGAATTAATCCCCCTGTTCCGTTCTCTGACAGCACTGCATATAATGTTAAAAAAAAAAAAGGGACAATAAGAAAACCAACTAGGCCCTAGCTGGTTTTGCTCAGTGGATAGAGCGTCAGCCTGTGGACTGAAGGGTCCTGGGTTCTATTCCAGTCAAGGGCATATACCTGGGTTGCGGGCTAGATCCCCAGTAAGGGGTGTGCAGGAAGCAGCTGATCAGTGATTCTCTCTCATTGATGTTTCTATCTCTCTCTCCCTCTCCCTTCCTCTCTGAAATCAATTACAATATATTTTAAAAAATGAAAACCAGCAAGAATTACAGAAAATAGGAAAGAATAAGCAGAAGGAAAAAAGATGGTGAAGGTGATAATATGTTAACACATACTGAGCACTTACTGAGTATTTGCTCAGTGGATCACAGGACATACACTATGAACCATTTTATTCTGAAAGGCACTATGAATATCATACTAATTTACTAATGAAAAAGCAAGGCATGGAGAGGTAAAGTAAGCACCTCACAGCACACAGCCAATAAGCTGTATCTAAATTAAGATCCAAATTCCGATTTCACTTGACATAGGAGTGTGCTCTCAACCTATAAAGCTCTATTACTTCCCTACATGATATATTAACTCTGCTAGTCAAATGATTTTTAACAAACCTGCTTAAAGAAATAGAATATACATAAACTTGGAGAAGTATTCCTTTGATCTTTACTATATTTCAATTAAATTTTAAAAACATAAGTTTTGCATTCCCACTTCTTTAAAAACTAACTTTGAAAAGTAACATTTAAAAACTTTTCTCTCTTTTTGAAAAATTCCAAATAAAGTAATAACATGAACAAACATTTACCCTTCATGTAGTTTCACCAATTGACCAATTGATAACATTTTGCCATGTTTGTGCTCTTGCATACATTCTCTCCCTGTCTCTCTCCATCTCTCTCATCTCTCTCTCTCTCTCTCTCTCTCTCTCTCTCTCTCTCTCTCTCCCTCACTCCCCCTTTCTCTCTCTCTCTGTATATGTGTGTGTGTGTTACATTTGGAGGCACATAATGGCAGTTTGTACCATTACTGGTGACGCAAAGTTTGATTCTTTGGTTAAGAAAGAATGCTTCAGATTTTTTTCTCTTTTTATAGAGAAATTTCTCTATTTGCCCTTCATAATTCATAAGTAAACTGTGGATAATAATTTCAAATCTTGTGCAGTCTTGCTCATCAATAACCTTTCACTTTGTGGTTTTTCTTTTAGCAGTCACTGAGGAGCTTTGTATGAATTAATTACTCATTGGTAGTTGTAAATCAATAACTTTCTAATTCTATCATTCTTTCAATAATTATTTGCTGCCATTATTCTGCAAAGAAGCGCTTTTTCTCCCACCACCACTGTCTCATCTCCCAAAGATTTTAATAGTAATGTCAATAAACTATCTTAAAAAATAGGCTGGCAAGCTCTGAACTGAAGCTTTTTCTAAGTACTTTAAGATGTTCATCCTTCATATGAGGAAACATTTCCTGGAAGGGAGCCATCGTTTTAGGTTCTTTATTAGGTAAATACTGAAAATCACAAATACATTTCTTTTCCTCTTATTTTTGTTAATCCTCATCCAAGGATATTTTTCCCGTTGATTTTTAGAGAGAGTGGAAGTAAAGGAGGAAGAGGAAGGGAAGGAGGAAGGGGAGGGAGGGAGGGAATCTCCCATGCATCCATGTGCCTGAGAGGATCAAACCTGCAAACCAGGACATGCCCTTGACTGGAAATTGAACCCGTGACCCTTTGGTGCTTGGGTGATGCTCTAACCACTTAGCACACTGGCCAGGGCAACATTTCTTTTCCACTTGTTTCTAAAGACAGATTTTGATATAGGTTTGAGCTGAAATAACTGACCACAATAAAATCTGTATTTATATTCTATACTAAATTCAGCAGAGATGAATAGAGAGAAAGAATAGAAATTATCTGAAGATAGTGTTGAGAAATTCTAGCTAAGAAATATAAATTCTGTTCTAGATGTATACATTTATGAGCAACTAGGAAATGCCCATTTGAAATCCCAAAATACACTGCTAAAGTGAATTGGAGATTCATACACATAGCAGTTTAGGTTCCAGAATTGTGCTAGCAATTCTTACAATATTTTTGTTACTTCAAACTGGAAATGACAGTGTGAAGCAGACTGAACTATACTCCTAAGCTTGCCAAACAGAACCAAAATAAAAGTGGGAATCTGGATTCTAATCCAAAAACCTATTTGCAAGATCACAATATTAGCCTAGCTGAATGAAGCAAACATTGCAAAACAAGGAGGGGGTGCTTATTACCATTATCTCCACTGGGGAGAGGTTTATTTTCTGAATTGCAATATTAGACAGCATTTATACCTATTAGTCATTCTAGATTGTGATGTAATAATTTAAAAAGGAAAAGAATTTTATACATTACCTTATGTGAAACTGATTGTATCTATCATCACCAGATGGTTTTTTAATAGCTACTGCTAACTTCTTCCATCCTTCTTGAGGATCAATAAAATCTGACAGCTTTCTAATTAGTCCAACATTGAGGCAGCGTACATATGTTGATGGTGTTATTGGTTTGTTCATCTTCTATTCCTATGATAGAAAAAATTCTCATTAAAATGTTACAGTAGTTTTAGTGATGATATTTATAAGCTTATATTTCACTCTGCTATAACATATGAATTGTTGGCAACTGATTACATACACTATAACAAAGGAACAGTCCAAAGTGAACTACAGTTGATGCTTGAACAACAGGAGTTTAAGCTGTGCAGGTCCACTTATATGTAGACTAGAGGCACCCGTGGGGTTCCTCGGCCTGACCTGCGGGAATTGGGCCAAAACCAGAAGTCCAACATCCTCTGAGGGGTCCCAGATTGCGAGAAGGTGCAGGCCAGGCTGAGGGACCCCACTGGTCACGAATCCATGCACCGTGCCTCTAGTATGCATATAAGATCTTTAATTAATCTCTTCCCGCCCTCCCCCCTTCCCTCTGAGATTCATCAGTCTGTTCCATGTTTCCATGCCTGTGCATTGAACGTCTGCCCCCTGGTGGTCAGTGCACATCATAGCTACTGGTTGAATGGTTGGTCACTTAGGCTTTTATATATATAGGTATTTTTCCATTAACACTATAAACGTATTTTCTCTTCCTTATGATTGCCTTAGTAACGTTTTTTTTTCTCTAGCTTACTTTGTTGTAAGAATACAGTATCTAACACAAAAATGTATCATACAAAATATGTGTTAATTGACTGCTTACGTTATCTTTAAGACTTCCAGTCAACAGTAGGTTATTAGTAGTTAAATTTGCAGAAAGTAAAATATTACACGAGGATTTTCAACTGCATGGGGGTCGGCGCCCCAATCCCTGCATTGTTAAATGGTCAACTATAGTTGATATCTAAAGAATAAATTAAAATTGTGCTTTATTTGTCTATCTTCTGTATTTGCTTTTTTTCTCTACCTATAATATCAATTAAGAAATTATATTTTTTCCCCTGATACTGACATTTTCTGAGTGAAATTTACATAAAGGAGCAAAAAGTTTACTTTTTTCAGAAAAAATACTGTGAACAAATTCAGGAATGAAATCTATTAATAAAAGAGAATTATTTTTCAATTTAAAATAGGTTTACCAGTCAGTATTTATTTCTATTAAATATTTATGCAATACTCTTTGGTAGAAGAAATATAAATTTCCTGAAATAATTTGTGTAGCATTAAAAGATATGGTCTATCCACCAACATTTTACATAACGTGCTCTTCCCGGTACGCCTCCACCTTTTTTGAGTCCATCAGCTCTATCCAATCACAATTCATTCCCTACTAAGCCAAACCCTATGGCTTACCACCTTAACTACTCTCTAGACAGAACCTTTATTTCCTCTGCTCCCTTTTTCTTCTGCTGTTCCACCTTGGAGAGCTGCAGCTAGGGATAAATCTCACCATTTTACTGGTGCACCAGTGCTGCTGAATACAGCTGAGAACCAGATGACAACTGAGCATATTGGTGTGAATACAAATTTACGGGGACCCCTTTTCCATTGGGCCTTCAACACACCCATTAATCCTTTTACTTGTCTTCACTCATTGTCCTTAGCGAACTATTTCACACCTTTACTTCTCTACATGTGGTTTTATTTTATCTCCCTGGCCCTCATTCTCAGGAGGTGGTTGCCTTTCCTTCTAATTAATCAAGACACATAGATTCAGATATTCTTCTGCCAATTATTCTCCTACCCTATATATTTTTTATTTTAAGATGCCATACAATTAATATTTGGAGTATATATTCATGGGGTACAAAATCCAGAATCTATAAGCAAAAAGCCTCCCTATATCCTAGGCCTCTATATTAGCATTTTCTTCTCTTTTACCTTCTTTGACCACAATATCTAAGTAGGTCTGTCTGCCTTCAGCCTAATTATCTTTCATCACTGCACAATTTATTTGTAATCATATATTTGCTTGTTTAGTTGTTTACTGGCTGTCACCACCATTAGACTATAAGTTCCATGAGTTCAGGGACCTTGGTCATTTTATTCACTAATATATACTAGTTACTTCAACCTTCTATTCATATACTAATATGTGAGAATGCTCATATAGTAAACATTCTTTACCTAAATCTCTCTCCTAAGTTCTGGACCATATATCTACTTAGTGCCATCTCCCCTAGATGGTGACAGAAGTAGTATTTACATTTAATGTGACCAGAACTTATTTCCTCCATCTACCTAATTGGCCAAGCCAAAAAAGCCAGGAATCAACTTCTTTGCTTCCCTCACTCTTCTTTCTTTCTTCTATCACATCTCTCATTCGTTTTGATTTGGTCTCCTAAATCTTTTAATCTTTTCTTCTCCATTCCTTGATTGTATACTGTTTCCATTTCTCCTAGATTATTACAAAGTTTTCAAACTGATCTCCCTTCAATTTTTCATTTTAGAGGAATCCACTTAACCAAGTAAGATCACATAATACCTTTCCTGAAAACTCTGAAATGGCTCCCCTGTACCTTTCAGTACAAAGTTTAAACGCCTGTCATAGTATGTAAGGCACATGATGATTTGGCCCTGCCTGCCTCTCTAACCTCATCTCTTATTACTTAATGGCATGTATCCTATGATCCAGCCATAGCAAACTCCTTGCCTGAGCCTAACCATGCCCTCCTGTGCTATTACTGATGCCTGGATTTTTTTTTTTTTTGATGGGGGAGAATTATCCTTAATCCTTTCCACTCATTCTTCTCTCCTCCCACCTCACCCAAATCTGTCTTAAGACAGCTCCTTCAGACTGGCTCAGCTTGATGCTCCTTCTCTGGGTCCCATCACACTCTGCACGCACCTATTACAACATTTATCCCTCATAATTGTTTTATCCCTTGCTAGACTGAAAAACTTGAAAACAAAGATTTTCTCTTCTCTGTAGCTCCTATTACCAAGTACCGCAATTTTCAACTGGTGTGGCTCAACAATGTTTAAAACGTGGAATACCTGACTAGTCAGGAGCACTTTACTCTTAGATTTTCAAATAGAAAAATGACAACAGTCAACACAATAGCCGTCTGGTAGGAATGAATCACAATTATACCTATTTTTTTGTTAGATTATTATGATAAGTGAAATAAGGCAGTCAGAGAAAGACAAATACTATATGATCTCACTTATGTGTGGAATCTAATGAACAAAATAGAAACAGAGGCATGGATACATGGAACAGACTGACAGATGGCAGAGGGGAGGTGGGTGGAAGGAACTGGATGAAAGAAGGTGAAGGGATTAGCCAGAGAACATAGATGTATAGCCCATGTGCACACAGACAATAGTGTAGTGAAGGCACAGGTTGAGGGTGGGGTGGAGGGACTGTGTAGAGGTGGGATGGGTGGTGGTGGTGGAAATCTGTAATAGTGTCAACAATATATATCATCTATATATCATACACAAAAATCCATAGCACTCTGAATAAATCTTTCACTCTGAATGTGACTTTGATCTTATGAACTTCCCAAAAGAGACTGAGAGACCCCAACCATACCCTGAGAACTGCTGATTTAATATTTGTTTCAAGACTTAAACCTTGGATGAAGATACAAAGGGGATAGTGAATAGAGTATAGGTTAAGAGGTCAGCCTTGAACAGAAGGAAACCTCTTCTGAATCTAGCAAGAGGGAAGCAGAGGTTTGAGTACAGGTATATTTGAAGGGAAAGAAAGAATTCCCACACATCGTTATTTTTCTGTGAAGCAGGAGGTAAGGTCATCTAGAGCTAACTAAAAGAATTGCCCCAGCACCTTGAGGGCCACTTGGTAAGTGTCTACTATCCCATCAAGTCCAACGCAAAAGGAACTATGACTTTCCCTAATGTCTTTTGCTTCAAACTGTCACCTGGTTGTTTTTCTATTAAAACAGTTATCATAACTTATTGTTTACTAGAGGCCTGGTGCATGAAATTCATGCATGGGGAGGGGGTGTCCCTCAGCCCGGCCTGCATCCTCTCACAATCTGGGACCCCTTCGGGGATGTCTGACTGCCAGTTTAGGCCTGATCCCTCCAATCCAGGACCGCTGGCTCCTAACCACTGGCCTGTCTGCCTGCCTGATTGCCCTTAACCATTCTCCTGCCTGCCTGACCACCCCTAACCACTTGCCTGCCTGCCTGATCGCCCCTAACCACTCGCCTGCCTGCTTCATTGCCTCTAACTGCCTCTGCCTTAGCCCCACCACTGCGGCTTCATCCGGAAGGACTTCCGGAAGGTCATTCGGCTGTCTGGTCTAATTAGCATATTATGCTTTTATTATTATAGATCTGTCTACCTTATCTCCTATACAATCTGCTCTCTGGACAGAGATCCAACAAAATTCAACTTTAGCAGCTACTCACAATATTTGTGTTAAATGAAAGACTGATTTTTATAAAATTAAGAAATCCTAAAAGCCTATAGCTTTGCAGTTGCTCTATATACATTATTTTTTCTTATTTATTCAGATTTCTACTGTGTGACTGACAAAGCTCATAAAAGTAGAACTGCTTAGTAATCCTAAAAGCTAGAGCTAAGACACAGGGAATTGAGAATAAAAACAGTCTATCTTAAAATCAGCTCTACAGCACCCAGATTTCTAGCAGAGGTGATGACATAGGGATGTCAGAAAAAGGAAGGCTTTCTAACAAGCCCTTCACACACATATATATATCTTAAAGTTTTAAATCTCAAAATTTAAAATTTTCCTTTA